CACCCGCCAGCCCACACTTTCTCTGAGACATGCTTACCTTCTCGGGCAACGATCAAGATCAGAGGCTCTAGCCCCGCTGGCCTGGCTCAGGGGTTGAGCATCGACTTATGAACCAGGAGGTCACGGTTCGATTCCCGGTCAGGGCACATACTTGGGTTGCAGGCTCGATCCCCAGTGGGGGGAGTGCAGGAGGCAGCCGGTCCATGATTCTCTCTCATCATTGATGTTTCTCTCTCTCCCTCTCTCTCCCTTCTTCTCTGAAATCAATAAAAATATTCTTTTAAAAAAATCACAGGCTCTATTCTGAACAGATGCCCCCCGACTTTCAACAGGTTACGTCCCAAAGTAGAAAGTGCGTTTACTGCACCGAGCCCACCGGTCAGAGCTCAGCCCAGCCCACCCCGCACGTGCTCAGAACACACAGGAGCCCACCGTTGGGCAAAACCACCGAGCACAAAGCCTATTTTACAATAAAGCGTCGAGTATCTCGTGCAACTTACGCAATCACTTTCGCAACGTTGGAAAGTCCAAGAATCCCGTCAAACCATCGTCAGTCCCGGACGTCTGTGCTCACTTCCTTACTGCCTCCCACCAGTAAGCGCTGTGCCAGGAGGGCCAGGCCGCCTCCGTGGCTGCCGCAGCCCCAGGGCCTGCCACAGAGCCTCACAGGAGGGCTCACAAGCAAAGGTGGGGACCCAGGACCCCACACTGCGCACCCCTAACCCCAGGAGACCGTCCCACTGCAATCGTGTTCAGACTCCCCCGCCGTTCTGCACAGCCCGGCGGATGCTCCTGGAACGCCAGGACCCTCCCCTCCCCGCTTCCTCACCGGCGGCTGTGGAGGGCTAGCCACCGAGCTCCGAGCCCCGGCTTCACGCAACAGCCCCCCAACAGCCACCGATCTTTACCAAACTCTGGGACAGGCCCCAAAGGCCTCAAACTGCGCTTCCCCCTCCGAGGAGGGTCCCTCTGTGCCCCCCCTTCCAGTGTCACCGTGGCGCACACACGTGCAGAAGGTTCCATCACAGAATCCTTCTGCTGGCGCAAACCAGGCGGCGCGCGAGGCAAGACAGGGACAACCCGAAGTCGGTTTGGGAACAGGAATGGGAACAGGGCTGACAGGGAGAGGAGCCACAGACTTCCCAGAGAGAGGCCGGCCCAGGTGGAGAAAGGAGCAGCGACAGGCCGA